CTAATCCAGCAGGTCTTGTCAGACTGACCCAGACTGGCCAACACAGAAGGCTTCATTCCACATTCACCGAAGTTAGTGCAACCAGAACAGGCTCGTTACGACTAGTCGACCAGTATTTCACTCTGACAGTGCCATACACCACCAACCACCAAAACAAAATAATTGAATCGAAAAAGTAACAGGGTCAGGTCAACCAGTCGCCATATCCTACCGATCGCCAAAATCATTTAATAAAATATAACACGAGTAAATAAACTAAGAGTGTCCCGGCGCTCCAATAGACGCCGCAGCCCTGACATGTCTCCAGGGCCGTAGTGGGGCGGTCGGGTCATAAAATCGGTGCCCACTCAACCCTTACCTGCCACCGGGCCAATAACCAGGCCGTAATTGGGTGCCGTCGACCCTGGCGACGACCTGGGTGTATTGATCTCCGAGCTGTGCACGGCACAGCCGCACTGCAGGACCGCTGACCGGGTGACGGCAGGCGATCGGGCCCACCCGGACCACCAGACTGACAGACTGCCGGCAGACAGTCCGGTGACAGTGACAAGCTAGTCTGCCCGACAGAATGTTTGTCCAATTGTCACCACCATGCCGCTCAGCTCCAGTTGTCGAGTGAACGAACACACCGCAACCAGCCGCACACTGGCCTCCGAAAATTAAATACCCACATAAATCGAACTGGATTGGGGTAATACCGATTAGCGAAAGGTAGACTATATCCCCGGAAAATCAACGCCCTAGCTGGATCCGTATTTCTTTGTCTCTACGGGATTCATAAATCTATACAAAGCCAGGCCCTAGCCCAGTTGTCCTGATCCCTATCCTGATCGGCGGCCCACACTGATAAGGTGCCGGTCGGACCTTTGGCGCCAGAGTCCGATCTGGTCTACCCGCACACCCACTCAGGTCGTCAGGTCAGTGGTCCAAGCTGGTCGTTACTGACACCTCCACGGGACACCATCAGCATACCACGCCGTCGTGGCGGTCGAGAGAGGCGCAGTTTGATCTCTCAGCTCTGAGAGCGGCGTCAGCTGATCGACTCCCAGCTCTGTGGAGAATCAGCAGGTTTATTGCTAACTTGACCCGAACTCATCCGTAGACTTGCCGATCCCTCAAGAAACATCCCAACACATCAGTGGAACACCGTCAGATCTTCCCAGCTTTGAAGCGTGTCAATATCTTAGAACGCTGAGGTAGATCGTCATATTTTCTAGCTCTGAGGAGCATTACGATCCTCTCAGCCCTGGACAACATTTCTCTTCCAGCTCATAAAGAGCACCTTCAGAGGCATTTCTGGCTCGGTGGGAGCGCCGCCGGGCTCTCCTACGGACGGTGCTAATCGTCCTCGGTGAGCCCAGGGCCAGCTGCCCGGTTGTTGCTCCGCCCGCGTGTCGGTCTATTTCCTGCTCGGTAATGAGAGTAGCACGCGCGCCGTGCAGCTCTCTCCCTCGTCAGAGGAATACACCGAGCCCGTTATCTCCCCCTCTTTCCCCCTCCCTCTCCCGGCGCCACGCCTGCTCTCCGTACACTGCAGGTGTGGCTGGCAGCGGAGGAATGACCGCCAGATTCCCTGAGTGCCGACATGCGCTGTCGGCGTCTCTGCTCGACTCAGCTCGCGACGAGTCTACATACATATACTCGTATGACACAGCGGCGCTGGCCAAAAATGTAGCACTGGCGGATCAAGTGCGTTCAGGACCGGTTCTAGCAAATCACACCAATCATTCGGCCCACCCAGGGTGCTAGTAAAAGCCCTGGTCGGCATGGCAACTGTTATTATGACGTCATCGTAATCCCCGCCTTGAAAACACCCCCGAAAACGGCCCCAGCCCTCGCCATGAAACCACCGTAACTGCCAGGCTAAGCTGAATTCCGGAACCGGCGTGTAAAAATGGTAAGCTGAATTTAATTAAACGCTGCGTTTGACGTGCGATGCCTGTGGTTCTCCCGGCGCTCGGCAACATGAGTTGGAGTCGAACGCAGCCATGAATCAGTCTCGCCCCCTCGGCTTTGCCAGGGCGCCTGACATCTACGTCATGGATGGTGACAGTCGATGTCCGCGGTTAGAACCTGATGACAAAGGTCATGATGACGCATATCACCGCCTGTTTGTGGGCGACGCGCCGATAGGGGTAGGGTAACGAACTAACGACAGGACACCGAGCCACAGCCGGCTACCGTCCACCTGGGGAGAGGACAGGGGAAGGGGAGAGGGGGAGCGCTGCCAGGTGTGGAGCGGGCTGGTCGAGTGGACAGGATGTCCACGGGGCCGAACATCCGGGATGACGTCATCAACGCGGGAGAAGAACGACGCGACTGGCCGATTAGGGTGATTATTTATTAAGGACATGCAGACAGGACATACAGACACTTCTGGTCGCCGGGAAAAGTGATCCGACCGAAATATAGTGTGACTGGAGTTGGACGATGCGCCGTGACCTGGTGATATGTCGTGTCAGGTCGATTGGGTTAGACTGGTAGAAAATATCGCCTTCTGATCCGGTCTGAGCTCTGAAGAGAGAAACGAATGGAAGAAGTCCTAACTTTCCGTCTGTGGCCCATCACTGTCTGTAGAGGGAGGGGGGGGGGGGCACGCGAAGGGGCGGAGGCAGGTGGCTGAGAGGGGGCGGGACCGCACGGCAGCTGTTTGCGGAGCACGGAGGCGGGACCGTGACCGAGCACCAGCTGCTCCCAAAACAGAGGTACAGATGAGGTAAAATGAGGTCGTAATTTTCGACCGATTCAACTCGTGCCACAACTCAACATTGCTTCAGACGCCTAGCTGATGCAGCAATGGAGGGGGGAGAAACAGCATGCAACACATCCGGCAGCGACGCAGACCGTCACTCGTCCGAGCGACAGATTCTGAAACCGATCGGCTCCAATTTCAGCAGACGGAGTCGGCGTTTGAAGCGCTCGCTGCGTCGGCTATTTGACACCGTCTGGGCGCGGTGCGGGCGAGACATCGCGGCTGTTCCGCGTCGACAGATGAGATGATCTGTCTGAGCAACAGACGGTCTGACGGGAGGGCAGACGGCCAGAGGAAACCCGAGACGAAATGGCCTGTTGGTGCTCACACATACCATCGTCTCGGCATGCTCAGATGTCCCACAAACACATCCGGCATCGGATTGCTGGACGTTGGGGTTGGGACGGGGAGTGTCTTGGTTGGTCATCGGTACAGGGCCGGATAAAACTCAAACTCTGTGCGGACAACACGATCCATTTCCCGGTCGGAGCCTCTAACTAATACCTAAGCCTGGGACTAACCTAGAGTTGCACCTGACCGGCACAAAGCTTGCCTGGGGTCGAGAATTTGCCCGACGCCGGCACATGAACAACAAGGTAACGGGAACCAGTCGGGTCGGCGCTGAGGTTGCGCACCAACCGGCGCGCAGCGGGGAAAGGTCAGAAAAAGGTGCTCCACCGAGGTGAGGTCGACTCCGGACCTCGTAACACGTGCCGGAGAATCGGGTCCAGTGCCGGACAGAGCCCAGTGGCGTCGTTTCTTTGTGTCAGCGGAGCCGGTCGGGTCCGGCGGCGTTGGGTAGTCCCGTTACACAGGCTAATTTGTGCTAACCAGGGTCCGACCGTGCCGGTCAGCCGACTCCGGACAATGCCGGGAGCCCGCGCGGTCCAATCAACGTCCATTGGAAACTATTAATCCGTGACGCTAGATACCGTTCAGCGAAGAAGCTAAGTATATATTCCACAGATATTCAGGTCGGTTTGAAATCGTACCTCCCCTGTAGCCTGAATAACCTACTATCCTGAACTGACTCGAGCTATTTGGCTCGAAAGGTCATGGAGTCTTGGCGTCGCCCACATCAGCGACGCCCAGACGCCGCCGATACGTTACGATCGATCGCTGTGAAAAGCACCCATGGACTGCTCAATACAAGCTTAGTCAATAGCCCAGCGTTTGTAAACACGCTTAGTTAGCTGGTGGTAAGCAAGATTCTGACCTGACATGACACTGCCGTCTATGTCATCGAGCTACAGAAGAACAGACGTCAACAAAGAACAAAATATTCAGCTGTGCAGCTCTGGCTGCTTGGTAAGCATATCTAAGGGCGGGGGCGACACGAATGACGCCGCATTCGGTCAGGACAGGGATGGGTGCAAACTCGGCACATGGGGAGCGGCCGTCCATACATTTGTGAGGGCGGCGCTGGGAGGAGCCCCTTCTAGGAGCGGCTCCAGCATTCGACCTTCAGAGGCTGCCTGTGGACTTTAGTGACACATTCGGCCGTTCAGTCAGCCATCAGGACATGTGTGTCCGTGTCTGAATAGAGCGCAGAGTTTCCTGCGTCGTTCTGGGAGTTTCCTCAATGGAAAGGAAACCGACAGCAATACTTCTGGAACGGTGTTGGGTGATTCAGCCGATACGGTCACCTTTACAGGGAAGGAGCGTGCCTTTTGTCACTTCAGCACGCTTCTAATGCTGGTTGTGTGGTCGTTAAAAGGTGGCGGCGCACCCCAAGCCTCCGCCTTAATTTCCAACATTAATTACCCGCAAATGCATCGTAATAGCAGACTTCCATGGCTGCCACCAATCTGGAAATCGAGAATTGTGCAGTATCCATTATATGATACAGAACAGGATAGCATGAATGAAACAAACTGTTCTGTTCACAAAACGCTGCAGCATGTGAATGCTATTTGGTGAATGTCATTTATCAGCGCGCAGTGACTGCCCTAACGAGCGTGCCCCGGCGGCTCTGAGCAGGGCCTGCAGATCGCAGCTGACAGTCCGGTGGACGATCGGAGGTGGGGGGTTATAATATATAGCCTTGGGTGGAGCTCTATCAGGCGTCAGCGACTGTCAGCTATAAACTTGCACGTCCGGCGACCGAAAATGACAAGAAAATAGAGAAAAGAACGCCGCTCTGCTGTGATGAGGAACACATCTGGTTTCACACAGGGGAGAATCAGAATAAAGCCCGTCATTTGAGGGGGCGCGCTCACAGAAATAGACAGAAAATCAGAACACTTACGTATCGGCGTGTCTGTGTTCTTGAGCTGCACCACTTTGCGTCGGACCACCTCCACGCGGTTCCGCAGGACCTGAGCTCGGTCCGAGACGGTCACAAAGCTGTCGTGCAGCTCCTCGAAAATATCCTCAGCCGCCAGCACCAGACTGGAGAGCTGGTGCAGCGCAGTGGTGAGCGCTGCGTTGGCAGCGGCGCAGCTCTCATCCCCGCCATCACCCTGACCGGGCAGAGGCCGGCCATCGCACAGCTGCAGCGGGGAAATGTGTCGCAGATAGAACGGCATGGTCAATCACCGAGCGCAGCCCCGGCCCGCACCTCCTCACTGCTCGCCCACCGCCACACTGTCGCTAGCACTGCACCTCCGCAGCGCTACCACTGACTCCGCCTAGCGCCACGCTGACGCTGGCTTGCGCTCCGTCTCGGCAGCGTCGTCACTCCACCTTTACGCTTGCTCCATATCACTCCGTCCTCACCGAACTTCATCCAAAGACGGATCAGTCTTCACCTACCAGTTGCCACAAGTCACGAGTGAAGATTTGTGCCGAAAGCTGGCACCGTTTCATACCGCAACAAGTTTCACGAAGCATCTGAGTTACAGCTCAGACAACAACATGTCAGCAAAACATAAAACGAACGAAAACAATCTCACCACTTTTCGCTACCCTCCCTTTGCTACCACTACGCGTCTCACCACTTTGTAGGGACACGCGCGACTTTGCGCGCGACGAGCGCACGGGCGGCCTCGGGCAACCACAACAAACGCTACAATACTGGCGAGCCAGTGCGTCATTACCACGAGTTTCCCTGGCTATCCGCGTTGTTTGGGAAATGTTGCTATTTATCATTATTGTATTATTTTCCGAAAAATAATATTCAAGATAACTTAAATCAGCCATATATTTCAAAAAGTAAGCCTTACGCTAAGGTAAGTGAGGAGAATTGGGAAAATAAATGATTTTAGAGGGGAAATCACCTCTAAAAATAGTTTCCACTTCACTCACTAGATGTCAGCAAAATATGGCAATTATAGATGTCGCTAGCTCACTGACAGGCATCGTCTCTATTATGTTTTAGGGCCTTGGTCTCTGGGTTACGGACAAAAGTACGTATCGCTAAAGTACGTAGGACAAAAGTACGTAAGCAAAAGTACGTAGGATTAAAGTACGTATCGCAGAAGTACGTACAGTATAAAGTACGTATGGACAAAAGTACGCCAGGGACAAAAGTACGTATCGCAGAAGTACGTACAATATAAAGTACGTATGGACAAAAGTACGTCAAGGACAAAAGTACGTATCGCAGAAGTACGTACAGTATAAAGTACGTGTGGAAAAAAGTACGTCAGGGACAAAAGAACGTATCGCAGAAGTACGTACTGTATAAAGTACGTATGGACAAAAGTACGTCAGGGACAAAAGTACGTATCGCAGAAGTACGTAGGGTATAAAGTACGTATGGACAAAAGTACGTCACGGACAAAAGTACGTATAGCTAATGTTCGTAGGGTAAAAAGTACGTATGAACAAAAGTACGTCACGGACAAAAGTACGTATCGCAGAAGTACGTAGGGTATAAAGTACGTATGGACAAAAGTACGTCACGTACAAAAGCCTACGTATAGCAAATGTACGTAGGGTATAAAGTAGGGTAGCCTTGGGCAAGACGCCCCAGATAATTTATTTTGCTACATAGGTACCTACTTTTATCTCACATCACCTGGAAGGCCACATTTGTGCTCAATGTGTTCTTTGGACATTTTACTTTAAATTCCATCCCTCAAATTCATTCACTTATGATCGGACTCCCAGTTAGGAAGTGCTTTGTGAAGCAACTGCTAATGGGGCATTTTGCCCCAACCCCAGCCCCCAGGGCAAAACGCCCCACGGCCTGAGGCAAGAAGCCCCATACACTAGATTAACCCTCGCGGGCCCGGGGGGCGTTTTTCGCCCCCCCCCCCCCCCCTCCTGGCGAATATTTGCGATAGCTCCCGAACGCTTAGGGATAGGAAAGCAAAACTTTCAGTACCTTTTTTCACATCAATTTGACATCTTCTGAAGTAAAAAGTTTGGACCTAGCCCCATTAATGACGTCACAAAGTCGATTTTTCTAGACCCCTGCACGGCAAACTTCGGTGTCACAGACGCGAACTTCAAATAGCTGCTAAAATAGAGTTTTAAAGATAAAGACAAATTACGAGCACGGTTGTGTAGCATTTGACCTAGACAAAAATACAAAAATAGTTTTAGTGACCTGAGATTAGAGGTCAGGTCAACGACCCCGAGCTGTGGTTTTAGTTTTTCGCAAATAACTTCGACAAAAATGGTCCTAGAGCTACGGTAGTGGTACCATCGCATTTGTCTTGTCAAGCCGCGTCGAATGATACATATTTTGTTTTGTTTGGAAAAGGGCAAGTTTTATGTTGACCTCATGTTACCTCGAATGACCTTTGGTTGACCTTGACACATCAAAAGTCGTTTATGATGGATTCGTACCCGCTAATCACGAATCTGGCATCTATTTTCCTCTAAGCCTTTATTTAGAGCCTCCAGATGGCAAAATTGTCTTATTTATTATTACTAACTTGAATCAGTGAAATAGCCTCTAGCAAGGACTCTTTTCTGTGACCTTGACCTTTGAGCAGCCTTGTATCGTAAGATGAACCACAAACAGGGACCTGATAAGCCTCAAAACATTTCAAAACATCTTGGAAGTTGACACACAAGATGTACGAAAAAGTGTAAGTTTGAGGTCAATTTTGAGCATGACCTTGACCTTGACCTTTGATGTTGAGCACATTGTCGAAATTCTCAGATTCTCTTCTTTCGTTTGACACCCAATTTTACCGGTTTTATGCATCCTGCCGTCCTCTAGAACGCTCACTTTGAGATCACTACACATGTGCCGGTTTTTGCCTTTGACCTTGACCTCTGACCTTGAAAATTGACCTGAGGTCAAAAATTTTGGGTGCTTTAGAAGCGTCTCGTAAGGACCTTTCGTTTGGTATCGCTTTTGTTTGCGTAGCTCTCTTATTTACGGAGTTAGACAGGGGGGGGGGGGTGAAAAACGCCCCTCCCCGGGCTGCGGTGGTTGGAATTACCCCCCGGGCCCGGCCGGGTTAACAGAAGAGAGGATCTTTCCCCAGAACCCTGCCAGTTCCGAGAAACATCGGTGAGGTGTTTTACCTCGGCGGGGCGACTTGCCCCGGTCTACCCTACGTGTGGACAAAAGTACGTCACGGACAAAAGTACGTATAGCAAATGTACGTAGGGTATTAAGTACGTACCCCACCCTTGGGTTAAGTTGATCAATGTGTAATACCTTTCTTATTCTTTATTTAATGAGCATTTGTTACAAGGCATAGCAAAATTTATCGATGAGTAAATGGGCGAAATGGACAAAGTATATTATTTGGTATATGAATTTATTATGAGTTCCCTGTAGTATGGCAACAGAGCAGCAATAAAGAAAAGTGGCTCAACTTCTACTATACCCTACTTCTAGCATACGTACTTTATACAATGCGTACTTTGACATACGAACCGTACGTACTTTTGGCATACGTACTTTTTACACTACGTACTTTTGCGTACGAACATTTGCGTACGTACTTTTGGTATACGTACTTTATACACTACGTACTTTTGCATACGTACTTTTGCGTACGAACATTTGCGTACGTACTTTTGGCATACGTACTTTATACACTACGTACTTTTCCATACGAACTTTTGCGTACGAACATTTGCGTACGTACTTTTGTCATACGTACATTTTACACTACGTACTTTTGCATACGTACTTTTGCGTACGAACATTTGCGTACGTACTTTTGGCATACGTACTTTATGCACTACGTACTTTTTCATACGTACTTTTGCGTACGAACAATTGCGTACGTACTTTTGACATACGTACTTTATGCACTACGTACTTTTGCATACGTACTTTTGCGTACGAACATTTGCGTACGTACTTTTGGCATACGAACTTTATCGCCTACGTATATTTGCGTACGAACATTTGCATACGTACTTTTGTCCTACGTACTTCAGCGATACGTACTTTAGTCCTAAAATCGTCCGCGAGTACTGATGTGCATCGTGGTCATATGACATGCACGATGCACATCAGTACTCGCGGACAGACAGAAAATACGCACGAAAATACTGATTGCTTCAAAGAAATCATTTAGATAGATACCTACTAAGCTCTTGTCAAGAATAAGGCGTGGGCGCGGATGAACGAATAGGTCATTGACGATGACAGGTTGGGCCTTTCATAGAAAGGCTGGAAACAATGGATGATTATCGTAACTCAATAGCAAACAGCGAAAGAGTGAAAGGCATAAGGCATCTTTTTATTTAGTCCTGCTTTCTTCTCAACCCGGAGCCCTAATATAGACATTTACGACGCACGAGTTGTTTACATTTGGCCAATCGGGAGCCTGTTCGACAGCAGTGCCAGCAGTTACAACCTAGCTACATTTGCTGACGTCATGCAGTTCGTTGGGCATTTTTAGCAATTTTCTGTTGGATAATTGTTAAAATGTCACACTTTATTTATAATGTAATAAAATTTGGTCACTAAAGTTATTTGAAATACCACAATCTACAATTCAAAAGGATTTATTTTTGATAACCATGGAAAATGGGAGCGCTCATTGCAGCTCCAACAAGCCATGATGAACAGGGTTTTGAGCACTGGAAGTTGTTAGGCACGTTTGTCGAAGAGTGCAGGGGATGGGATAAGGGGTAAAAATTCGGTATTTTGGAAGTTTAGACGTGTAATAGTATCGTAGGTCTGCTGCATGAAAAGTTCGGTCAAAAGTTTATTTGCAAGAACCTTATTTATCACCAACGCTGTACCCGATGGAGGAGTTTCAAGCATGGCTCACAAACAAGTTATTGTCACTGGAATCAGATGACAGTGTTATCACTGATTACATAAATGGGATACTTACGGGAGATGAATCTCAACCAGAAAAAGAGGAAGCATTACAGGGAATACTGTGTGGAATAATGGTAAGTTGACCAATTCATGCTATAAGGTTCATCAATGTTTTGTTACGATTTACGATTACTCAACTATGGGCATGAATCGGGTGGAATCTGAAGACAGAGTGTATGAGGGCATTTTAAGTCATGTGGCAACTAAGAAGTTCTCCCCCTCTTGCTGCCTTCCACAGGCTACTTGCCATGTGCTCTGTGCAAGTGAATAGTAAGAGCATTGGCCCTTGATCAAATTGCCCCAGGCATCCTGTTTTCATATTCCACCCATGAACACACTGTTTTCAGATTCCACCCATGACCCATGACAATGAAACATGATGTAAAGTGGAAGCAATTGATACAGCGTGAAATATATAAAATGATATCTGGAAAATTTCCAACTGAGATAGAATTAAGATATAAACATCGGAAGAATGCAGAAAGAAAAAAGACATATGAACTGCTTACAACATGAGTTAGTTAAGAGAATATGTTATTAGTTACCTACAACATTAGTAAGGAAAATGTTATTAGTGTGTGATGATTTTGAATTGATATTTTCAGTCAAAACTACTTTTACTATAGGTTCCATGAACTATGAAGTCATACAAGGAAGTACCTAACATAGTGCCTAGGTACTTTTTAATTATTGTTAAACATGCTCTAATCTAATACTAGGTATTTAATGTACCTACCTGCTAAGTCCTTACCATGCATTTGCATTTACAGGAGTCAGGAGTGGAAGAGTTTTGCCAAGAAATATTTGCTAAATGGAATGAGTGCAATTCAACAAGTGCTAAGAATCAAGAAAATGGTGCTGCACAGAAGGTAAAACAACTTTTAACATCTGTTTCTTTTCAATATCTACACACAGTAGGATAACACCCTTAGTGGCTCAGGAAATAATTATCAGGGATTAAAAAGAAAAATATTGGCTTAAAGGTTTATAAATTTCTAAGCTTGTAAGATCACTGCACATACTCAGCATAGGTCATCATCATATCATCATTGATTTAACATCAATGATTTAAAGTGATGTCCACTGTCAGTGTCTACATATGTGAATGTTGGAATGATTTGAAGTCATGCTTTCTTCTTGGTGTGTTCCTGCCAGGTTGACATTGAAGATCAACTGTCCAAGATCATGGAGCAGCAGAATCTATCTGCAACTGTCACAGAGAAGCCCAAGGTGTCCAATGCCGATAAAAAGCTAAAGGAAGCTATTCTCCAGCAATATGCTGAGGTATGTTGACAAAAAGTTCAATGCTGTAAAATGAATGGAATGACAGTAGAACTGGAGTTGGAGGGGCGAGTGATAACTGATATGTGTAGGCGTGAGCTGTCAGACATGTTTAAATGTTATAAACTTAAATTTCAGTAGTGGCATATTGACCACACAAAATATACTTATTAAACCTAGAGTATGAAGCTCCCCGAGTTGACAGAAGTGAGTGACCCTGAATCCCTTTCATCTGTTGACAGGTGTCTGACCATGAGGAAGACGAGGAGGGCGGGGGCGAAGAGCAGCTGGAGGCGGGTAAAAACACCAACCGCGACGAGGTCACCCGCGAGGAACAGGAGCGGCGAGAGAGGATGAAGGCCGAGGCGGCCGCCAAACGGGAGAAGGACAAGCTGGACAGGTGAGCGCGGCGCCGGCTCACTGAGCTCGGGTCGGGACGTTGCGCTCCCTTCAGGGAATGTGGGCGGAATCAGGGTAACATGTGGTCGCTCTGCTGTTTGGCTATGTATTTGCGAGTGTTCGACTGCATTGACGACGGTGAACTTTGAGCTGATGGTTACGCCGCGGTCTGTCCCCAGGGAGAAGCAGAAACACAGCAGGCTGAGCGAAAGGATAAGGAGAAGAAGCGCACCGCCAAAACGGAGAAGCGCAGATAGCACGCCACGACAGTGTGGTGAATGTAGGGGGTTCGACATGGCGCTGTGTGCGCTGGGCCCCCGCAAAAGTGATCTGGTATATGTAGAGTCTGACGGGATTGTTCTGGCTATGTTGGTCTGTCACGCAGTGTGTATATGCGTGGTGATACTCCTGGACTGGCCCCATCCGGTGCCGTCTGTGTGTTGTGTGTGCGTGCTGCCTGACGGAGCGGGTCAGTGCGCGGG